TGAAAATCATTGTTATTTATTACCTGAACCCTTTGTACATGGTAGGGTGTAATAATTGTTCCTGTACTACACGCCACACGGTCCTGTTAGTTTTATACGCCGGTTAAGTAATACTGCAACACACAACGCACGTGCATAAGATGCACAGGGTCGGTTTATTTATGGTTAATGTTTTTAATTAATTTTCCAGAAAACAGCAGTATCTGGACCAGTTGCTTAATTATATTATTAATAATGTTCATTTTAGTGCCCTCTATCACCCTTTTTAAGGAACACAATTATTTCAGAAACACTCTGTATACATAAATAGTGGTGATTTTTAAAATAACTTCCTAAGATGTGTCCTTAAATGTTTATGTGCTGTCTTATTCTGTGAATGACAAAGAAAGCTTTCTCACTGAGAAATTAACGGTTTAAGAAAACGTTAGAATAACATAGTTTTGGTTGATATAACGTTAAAGATGATATAACGTTCTAAATTACACGAATTTTCAACCTAACTCTGTAGAAACGTTGATATGATTTATATGTATAGGTTACGTTTCAAAGTTATAAAAACAGTTTTACGAAAGAACATTGTAGTTGAACTAAAAAACAATGAAGGCAAACATTTAATTAATTGCTGATGCGAACTCCAAATTTGCTATACAGGCTCTTACAAATTCGCTTCGCACTACAGGGATCTCGGAAATGATAAGAGATACGAAGTAGCTTAAATGAGGGCAAAGTTGCATAATCAGAGGATTAACATTATGCCTCTAAAAAAATTAAGACTAGCATGATCAGTTTTCGAAATATTTGAAAAAAATCGAAATTTTTGAAATTCGTTTTTGTTTCATTTCAGCCTTGTTTGAGATGATATTGATAAAAGAAGAACACTTTTTCATGGCAACTTTTTACCCTTTATCGAATGGCATAATCAATTTTTATATTTCGTCGTTGCAGGACCATCATCAACTTCATTTTTTAAATACAACCCTGGAATTTTTATAACCAGGCACGGATGTTTTGTCTCGAAAAATTCATCTTCAATGTATTCTTTCTAAACTTATCTAATTTTTTATTTAAATTACTATGTTTATTGAATTATTGTACACTCCAAGTGTCGTTTGACCCTGTGATAAGTTGTTGCATCAAAATTAAAACATTATTACAATTTTAATTTCATTTATGAGTATTGTACTTTAAAAAATTACTGAAATGAAACAAAAACGATTTCCAAAATTTCGGATCTTTTCAAATATTTCGGAAGCCTTGATTTTTTAGAGGCATAATGTCAATCTCCTGATTATGCAATTTTGACCCCATTTAAGCCACTTCTTATCTCTTAGCGTTTCCGAGATCCCTGCAGAAAAACAGTAAAATAATATCAAAATTCAAATTATAAATAAGATTAGTTAGCAGGACATTTAAATGGTTACTCAATTGAAAGTTAATATACGTTATTTTAGGACTCTTAGAGGACTGGTTTTCGATTGTTATAGAAATTAAACCGACGAATATTAATGGCAGAAGATAACGTGGATCTCGCCTGATGTCTCTGAGAACAAACACTCTCTTGGAGTGGAACAGACACTGTCTTGAGGTAAACTTATTCTTAATAGCTTTTGAAGAGTGATATTCTTTTGGTTCATTTTATACCTTCAAGAGATATAATACCTAAATGCACATAATCATTTCGTCGAATGAGACGTGCCATTTAAAATAAACGTCGAGGCATGGCATGTAAGCAGGGATATTGTACCATTATTCGCTGATACACCCATCTATGGATATTGTCCTGAAGATTCAATTGTTTCAACGTTTCAAGTTTTGATTATGGACCATACCTCATATAGTCTGGATTTAGCACCAAGTGATTTTGGCCTGTCGAAAAATCTTTGGTGAAAAGTGGTTGGCATCGATTAAAATGACTGAACTTGGAATACAAAATCTCGTCTCATGTTACGAAAAATGTTTAGCTCTAAGTCGTAACTGTGTGGGTTAATGTTCATAATGTCCAAAATATTTATTTTTAGTCGGTTTTATCATTTTTGTTTATAACGTAATATATTCTGGATGAAACTCATATCAAAGTATCTAGAGCAAACCTAATTTCTGGTGTTAAAAAACTAACGTATTTGCTCGGATACATACTAAAGCGCCTTTCCGGGCCATTCAAGCCTTTTCATTTCATTGCTACGTTCCCAGTTCGGTTTATCTGCGATCTGCAGAACTGTGTTTCGGAGAACCATAATTATTTAGTATCGTGACTTGCGGGTCATAAAAACAAAATTTATTGCGCAATACTACGGAATAGAATGATCCATGAGATGTGGAAATGAATTTTAGCACCGAGTTAAATGATTTATATCCAGAACTGTTACTTACCTTAATATAAGGTTTTTATATCTTTGAGATAAAAGCAGAGAATTAAATTACTTCTCAGTGTAAAATAAACAATAAAATATTTGCATGTTCTAATAATAATTTAAGGAGAGATACTGGTTAAAATATTTTTCCGTCACACAATGGTTGAATATAACAAAATGTAAGTAAGTCATTTGTCTCAAATTTACTCTTACATCGCCACGTGTTACAAAATAAATTATTTGTTGTGTTACTTAGTGTGAGTTTATTTTGATGAACAGTAACCTAACCTAGCCGCACAATACAAGTAAAAAACACACGACACTTTAGCAACTTCAATAGGTTGTTAACATTTCGAAAATAGGTTTTCCTTTTTAGAACCGAGAATGACGTTTCGTTTTTAATTAGTTCTGACAATTTCAGTTTGTTGAGAGGAACTCAACGAACAGGGAACTGTTTCCCTCAGTGATATCATGTTGACCAGCAATATCAGTCATCAATATGATCGATATTATTCAATAATTCACTGCTTCACTTATTTTCATTCCTTCAAAATTTTCGTTAGGTGTAAATTCTCACCTTTATTCAAGATATTGTCTCGTCAACATGGATATTTTTTTTATATCTTGAATATATGCCCAGATATCTCTTGAATAGATGCAGATGCAGTATCGTGTGAATGGTGCGTATTGATATATCGGAAAGCATGTCTTCAATTGCCACATGTTTATAATGCATGTACAACGCACCTTCAGTCAATGTTACAAACACATCTAGCGTTATCTTTCTAAATGGATGTAATATGGACTTATTTAACGTATATAGCAAACATTGTGCACTTTCTGACCCTAACATCAAGCCAGCTCCAGATGATATGGTCACTGGCCAAATATTTGTATAAAGTAACTGTATCAAGTATTTGCAGATTATGTACATATGTGTAATATACCTTTTCAAATATTCCTAAATAGTTTACTCATTTAACTATACTCACTTAAGGTATCATAGTATCCAAGAGCACAGCTTATAATTTCTTAAAAGCTCATTGACACTGTCCTATCCCAATAAATAGATAGAAGTTTAAGATATGGTTCAAATTCTCTTCATCGTAAGTGTAGATTTCCAGAAAATTCCTGTTTGTCTTTTGGCCATTTCCAGATCGTTTCAATTGTCTCTGAATGAGTCCCCACTCACTCACTCACAAATTTTCCACGCAAAATTGTTTCCACACATTTTTCATTCATGATTGGCGTGTAATGAAGTTCGAATGCCATCACGCTGAACTGTCACAAACTTGTATCTATGGAAAACGTTGTGTTTTATTTATCATGTCGATGGAGTTGGACTTGCCAATAGCAGTTTTTCAGGTCTAAGATAGAAAATCATTGAGATCCAGACAGCATGTAGTCTGTCTTTAGTAGAGGATCACTATCCTTCTCCATAGCATCATTTAACCTTCTATAATCTACGTAAAATTTGGTAGAAGGTTTTTCTTTACTAAAACTACCGGTGTAGGCTTCCGCTTCCAAGTCCGATAATTCTTTTTTTATCTTCAGCTACTGTACTGTTTTAGGTAAGTGTTCCATCAAAGGTTGGTGACTTAATTCTTGAGGATGGGAGAGAATTACCTTAAATCTTAATAACCTCTTCTGAGGACAACTGTACAGACTTCCTTTCCAGGTCTTCAAATCTTGCTTTATTTTATCCTGGCTATTCCTCATACCATCCTGGCTGTTTCTCATTTTATTGTGGTTCTTTTTTTTTCAATTCATCCTGTCAGTTTTTCATATTTTATTTTAATCGTTTCCATTTAACGTTTTATTCACTTCTGTTTTATCTTGTAACAGGCATTTATTTGGACTTCACTTCGCAGAAAGTTTTTCTTCTGCCACCAATGTAATTTTGACGAAAACCTTTAATATTTAAATAAGTATTTGACGAAAGCAAATTAAACTATTAATTGATCTAAATAAACTTCAACTGCAAATGTCAATAATTTTCTTACGTTTATCTATTCGCCTTCACGAAACAGGCCGAAGCCGAAGATGCCCATCTTAAGCGTTCTTGACTCAAAAATCGAATATAGCCTGGAATGTTCTAAAAACGTAAAAAAATATAAAAATTGGCAAATTAAAAACATTCAAGAACTTAAAAGAGAAATCAAGATAGGTTAGCTTCCATAACATTATCAATTGTTCGCATGTCAACTGCTTGCGAACACAACTGTGGAACTTGCTTAAAAAGTTGATAGCGGTGTTCGTACAGTAAGACAGACTCATTTCTATAATTTGTTTTTATTTACTTCCCATTCACTTATTGAATGGCCCAAACAGCGTGCTGTTTCTGTAGCGTAGGCGAATAGTTGGCAAGTCAAGATATGTTTTCGAATGTGTCGATATGTACCATCCATACGATAAGGCCCCAGTTTACGTTTGGCAAATATGTGTACTCTAGTAAATATACAAGCATGTTCGCATTGTGGACCATTCATCCGACCATACCGTAACATTTGGAGCCGGCTCCGTAGTACTTGATAAATTCTTTTGTATCGCATTATGTAATTATTAAAAAACAAAAGTCTTGGTGCCAAGAAAAAAAATGATAGCTGTCCTGGCTGTTTCTGGTTTAATTACTTTAATAAATATACTCACTGAACGAATTGGAACGGTAGTTATGACCCACAGTGGGCAGTAAAAGTGAATCAGTGTCGATGTCTGAGTCGTAAGGATTGTCCTCCGCTAGGTCACCTAATGAAGTGCTTCGTAACGGAGGCAGGCTGAAGTGAATCTCTCTAGTTCTGTAAAGAAATAAAAGAATTAATTGAAGGAGTTTGTATTTCAAAAGTCTTAGCAGCAATTTCTCGCATAAGGCTCTTTTGTTTTACGTTTGCTAACGGGCGTCTATTGTCAGGTACCGTATAATTAAATTTTTATTTAATTCTACTCTGCAGTTAAACGTAAAGTCTAATCTCATCCGTGTTTATGCTAAGGAAGTTTTTCATGTCAAGCTTAGCATTTGAGACAGGAGCGGATAATTTAAATTTAAACAATGAAGAATCCACATTCAATTTCTGTCTCTTTTAGGTTCCGTGATTATGCATAATGTCTTTGTTAACTTGCAATGGTAATAAGTAAAAACTGTGACTCAATTATGGTACAGAGCCTTCAGAAATGATTACAAGCCACAATACCAGTAATTTTGTTTGGAACAGTAATTTTATTTCCTTCATGTTGGCAAATAAATTTCGTTAAAATTAAAACAATAAGATCAATATTACTTGTATTCTGTTTCATCAGCTGTGATTGATGTAATTTTTTACAAGTTCTCGAGCGTAGACGTAACGGTTTGCCATTGTTCATTGAAAACGAATCCTTGTTATTGGTGACATCGAAGTTTAGGGAATTTTCATGCATTGTTAGGTTTCTTAAGCTCGCTAGTCACGTGGCTTGTAAACATTTATGAAGGCTCTGTATATTTCAGGTTCGTATTTGGTTTCATACAACCTGGTGAAAAATATTGTACTAACTAACCTCGTGTTCTCAAATCTTATATTTTTTTGTAATAGAACACCCTGTATGCTTTTAAATTGAAATCTGCCTTTCTTGTTGATTCCAGCAATATGTATTTATTTATCTATCTATTTATAAAATATAGGAGGATATTTAAGCACTCATCCAGATTTTTTCTTCCTCTTCAACATAAAAAGTAAGTGAAATATAAAAATTACCAAAATAATTGTTCAAAATACCCGACAAGAAATTTTAAGAATTTTAAGAAAGGCGAAAAACTAGTATCTCAAGAAAGGAGGGTAATTCTTTCCAAAACTTTCATTATTCGGAACAGAAAAACGGTTGGATGGATGAACTTGTCAATTTGCAGGGTTATTGTAGATACATCGAACTGTAAAAATTTCTCTCAATGTTAATCTTTTCACCATATTTGTAAATTAGCGGTAGATTTTCTAAAAAACCATAGAAAGTTATTTTTTTTGCACTCAAATTAATGTCAAGGAAGAACAAAAATTCTCCGAAAACCATGGTAGGTCTTTATAGAGAATTTATTCAGTTTTCGACACCGTCCTTGGATTTACTGTGCAATAATTTATTGCTGATGTTTAAAGACAAAAGTGTTATTTTTCATTCAACCCCGACATCTTGATAAACAATAGTCGTACCTTTCAGTCCGAAAAAATTTTCCTGAATCCGTGGAAATTTTTTCTCGAGGTATTTCTTTTAGTTTCTCGATAATCATAATTCAAAACATATTTTTATTAAAATATCTTCAAATTGGAAACATCAAACTAAAAACCGTTTTTTTTTATTTCGACACGACCATTTTTCACTGACATACAGCTTTTCAAATATCACTAAAAAATTTATGAAATAATTTTGTTTGCTTAATTTTTTCCAGTAGTGTACAATACAACTTAATTTATTTTCTTTCGTGGGATAATTTATTCTGACCACCTGACGTCTATACCATAATTGTGGTCATTTACTATTCCGGTAGTATAGTAGAAATAACTGGCTTGTCTTCAAAACCACAGGGAATTCTGTTTTTACATTAAATATTAAATTTGACTTCGGTTAACATTAATGTTGACTTAGATAGCAGGAAAAGCTGAGAAAGTATTTCCTTGAGAACCAGGCAGCTCTGAAATTGTTTAACTATATCCTTGAGATATAATATTTCTAAAAAAAATTTCTAGATTCATGTAAAAATAAGTGTATCACATAAATTTTCAAATTACTTAAATATTATGTTTTTCTTACACAAATAAAATTGTTTATGGTCAGAGACTTTATTTTGTTAAAAATGATAAAAATGGAGCCAGCGTTCACTTACAGTTATCTGATAATTACCTGAATGATATGATAAAAGTCATTTGTTGAAACAGCACGACAAATAATTGTTTACAGTGTGTTTCTCTATATAGGGTGTTTACAGACTTGGGGAGAATTTTTTAATGTTAGGTAGAATACATTAGTAATAAGCATTTGCATTTATACAGGGTGTTAGAAGATTGACTGCCTTAATTTTAACAGGCGAAATAATACCTACATAAAAATAAACAAAAACACCTTATATGACATGGGTCCTAAACTCAACCATTTCCGAGAAAAAAATTATCGAAATCTCCAACTTGATGGAATTAATTAAGGAATATTGACATAACTGCGTGCATAGAATACCATAAAATACAATGTTTATCACTTTTTTGAACTTCTTTATGTAATAAATTTAAAATTCGAAAAAAGTGACAACGGCGCGGCGGTTAACACGAGGTGTGTCCAACAGCTAACAATACGCAATTCAGTTGGTATATGGAATTCGACAGTCGAAGACTTGCGAGAACGAATTTTTGCCGCTGTCCATCAAATATGGATAAATCCGGGTATTTTCCAGCGGGTGCGCGAAAATTGGATTCAAAGGTGTCGTGCGTGCATCGAAAATGGTGGTGGACATTTTAAGCATATGTTGCAGTTTGTTTTGTACTTGTGCATTTAAAAATTAATGAATTTTGCTTTTCGGTAAATATCGAAATTATTTTTAATACGTATGATTATTTGGACGTGAACTTTTGAGTAGGTAGCTACTTTAATTAGATATTTTTCAAATTCATAATTTAATTAAAAATTCCTACACTATCTTCGTATTACAAAATCGATACATTTTATTTTATTTATTTAAAAACTGGAAAACAATTGTTTTAAAATTTACTAAACGTTTCACAATAATAGTTGATTACATTTTTGTTATTCCGAAAGATAAGTCTGCCCTGTGCACACGTGTGTGCATCAGCTGTGTAACATTAGGTTAAGCACTGTTCATCACTACACTTCTGTAGAACCGCACGAAGCTTCTAAATTGGTAAGCCAACATAACTTTAATTAATTACATTTAATTGTTTTTTACCTGATCAAGCTTTGCCAAAGGTGAAAGCAAGACATCAGGTATGTGTTTTTCTATTAAATACACAGGCCGACAAAATTTGGCTAAACCTCTAACCTAGAAACCAGAATGTACATTTCCGAAAAATTTTGGTGCGCTGAATTCCAATCCGAGGTTCAAACTTTTTCAATTGGCTCTAGTTTTCGAGATATCCTTACCTACAAGTGCCAAAATCGTGATTTTTTGACATATTTGAGGTTATGTTACATGAATAGGTACAATTTTTTTGCTAAAATAATTGTTGGGGTTTTAAAGAAACATACTCTCTCAAATTTATTAGTTTGACTTATTTCTCGATTTTTTAATATATTGACAACACAGCACCACAAACCTAAATTCATCGGCACTCGGAAGTAGGGATTTTACATTTTTTCTGGTCGCTGATCATGAATCTGAACTCCAAGATACTCTATCACGCCAAATTTTGCAATAAAACAAAAGTAGACGTAACGATTTCTTATTGTTCATTGTAAGCGAATCATTATGACTGAGGACCTTAAATTGACATTTGTGCTTTTTTCAGTAGCGTCCGTTGTCCGCGCCTGTCGTTTGAATTCATTTGCTGCCATCGTTTTATTGTTTCTTTTGCTTCAATATTAAATCGAACATATTTCAAACTACTTAATCAGTTATTTTCACAGCTGAACTTTTAGTCGAATTACTGTTGTAACAGAAACAAAATTTTGAGATTAATAAGATTTTTATTTCACAACGTATTATATCTTATACTCCAGAATAAGATACCTTTATTGTAATGGCTCGTTTTCGAAGTGGAACACCAAATGAAGACGGGTCATGGACATACTCTTTACCATTCTGCATTAAGCAATTTCGGAATTTCTAAACGCAATCATTGACTATGATTTGATAATGTACTATGGATGGAATGTAGAGAGAGAGACTAAGGAGCCAAGATGTAACATGAGATGAAACTAGTCTCACGTCACGTGACTCAGGACATTTGGAAGCTTATCACGCGTGATTATTACGTAGTATTTAGTATATTGCGCATTTTATATCTCGTGTGGTTGCATTTTTTCTCTTAATTTTCTTTTGCGTTCTTTGTTGTTAATTTCTGTTTTTGTTTGCATTTGTTTAAGTTTTTAAGTGTTTTATTTTGATGTGTGTTTGTATTATATAGTGACTGAAATAAAAGTAAATTTTGCAAAGTAGTTACGCGCCGTAGAATGTTCCCAAAGGCGTAAAAGGGAAGTAATGTTTCCTTTCAAAGATAATTACTGTTAACACCTTATTAATGACAAATTCTCTTTACATATTTTATTAAGAAAAAAATACTATACTATAAAAGTTGTACAATAAACTCATTGTGTTGTAAACGAAGAACAATATACATTTTTTAATTTCTTATGAATGTGAATATGTATGTATCACTACAACAATCGGAAAAGAAGATTACAAAAAGCGATAAATATACAGAATGTTCCGTTTAAAAATCCAAAGGGTTAGTTTTTTTCATATTTGCATTTTGAAGTCATAAGAAAATTTCCTAGAATTTTGCTCTTCACCTTCTCTCCTGTAGAGAAAAGTAAACCAAATAAAGGAGGTAGAATTTTATGTAAATGACATCCACTATTTTGTTATAATTTAATTTAAGAATGGCAACATGACTATTTCTTAGACCGTCTAGCACGGGGAACGTGGGTAATTTGCTCTACTGTAATATCATTCATCATTTGAACTTTGAAATTATTATTCTTGATGAATAGGGTTTTAACACTAAATTGAAGTAGGTCCAATATGAAATGAAATTAAACTCAACTCGACTTTATTTCATATCTAAGTTTTATGTTACTGAATGTAATTTTACTTTCCATTAAAAGGACG